CATAGAAACACCTTAGTAGAAAATCGCTTCCTGTCTCGTAAATTGCGACCAAAGTCAAAAAAATTGAATTTTTGAGCGTAAATTTCCGTGGGTCCCGTTTTTATTACGGAAATTTACGCCCGAAAAATTTCCTGATGTAGTATCAAGTCATTGCATCAAGTTTAGATATATTTTGCAGTATAATCATCAAAAAAATTTATTAAAAAAAATTTATTATTATTACTACATATAAAACTTTTTTATTTTAATAAAACAATATCAAAAATAGTATTAAGTAATCCTAAAAATAGGAAAGAATTGTATCTTTTATAAGAAGAATAAACATATATTATTAAAATAAAGAGAATTATGAGCAGTTAAAATTAAACTTGATGAAAAAATTTATTACAGCTTAATTTTGATGCACTTCTTATATGAGTACAATTAATTTTTATGTTTGAGTTTATTTAGTACTGTTTTTGACATTTACTTATAAAATAAAAAGTTTATATGTGATATCAATTAACAATTTTATATATAATTATGTCAATTGTTATTTTTATATATAATTATAACAGGATTCCAGATAATATATATAGGTGATAAATAGCGTTTGCTTAGTTATCATATAAAAAAAATTTTAAATTCATAATATTTGTTTACTTAAAATTATATAATTTTATAAATGGTCATAATAGTATTGGCAAGCTATTATTTTATTATAGTTATAAAATTAAAATGCATAACAGATATTTATTTTTATAATCAAAATTTTTGAAAAAAAAAATTGAGTAAAGGGACCATAAAAGTTACAACTCAAGTTTTTAAAGAGTAGAGTGTAATAGATTTGAATTTTGACTAGTACTAGTTAAATACAAAAGAATCATTATACTGAATAACAATTCCTATATTATAGATTAGTTAAAATCAGTAAAAATTAACTGTTCTATTGTATCCTAACTTATAAATTAACTAAAATTATAATTTCTTTTCAGTATGATAATTCTTTTGTATTTGATCTGTATAGTGAATTATGATAATTTACTGAAAATATTTATAAAATAAAAAACATAATTCAAATTCAACTTTATTATTGTAAAAGTATCAAATCATCACAAGTTAAAGTATTAAAGAAATCACAGTTCATTCTAAATCTTATAGATTTAATTAAAGAATTTTTTTGATAATCTTGATTTAGTTTTTTCTTAAATAAAAAGATCTCAATCAAAAGTATTTAGTTTAAAAAGAATTAAATTTGTAAATGAATTAATCACATCTTTATGGAATTAAGAGAAAATTTATTAATTTATTAATTTATATTGATCAAATTGAATTAAATCATTTGGTGAATATCAAGGAATTTTTAAGATATAATAGAAGTATCAAGAAAGTTAAAAGAGAATTCTCAGATGGAAAGAGAAAAAAAGTTATAAATAAATTGAAGAGACATTTGACATTGATATTATAAAAAATGAAATTTATGATAAATATTAAATATTAAATATTTATTATTATTATATTATTAATTATTATCATTATTATTATTGTTATTATTATTATTATTACTATTGTATTTTTTTTAAAAAAATTGTATATTTTTTTGAACTTGTTTATATATTTCTGAAATTAAATTTTCTTTGCCTTAAAATTATTATTCTTACTAATTTATTAATTTTCATTTTTTTTTACTACAAAAAGATTATTATTTTAGTTTATAAATAAAATTCATTATTAAGAAATGTAAATCACGTGTCTGGTCTTTTATTATTATCAAAACAAAATAGAAAAAAATTAAAACAAGTTCAAGTTTTAATAAAATATGAAATCAATAATAATAAGTATGAACACAATAAGTATGGACATAATAAGTATGAACAAGTATGAACAAGATATGAACAAGTATAAACACGAATGAAAGCTTTAAAAGAAATATAAATTTTAAAAAAATATAGATTTAAAATTTCTATTAGAATAAAAACTTAAAATTTAAATTTCGACGAAACCGCCACCCCTGAGACGAAGTACCAAATGGAGAGTATCTCCTTGTTTAATGCCATATTCTGATAGCATTTTTTTGTCGTTAAGATCATCGATCTGTTTATTTTTGTAGATAAGCCGTTGGTTTTGAGGGTCAATACCTATACAACATCAATAACAGTATTATATTTTAAAAAAAATTTTTTTTAAGAATTTGCAAAACTTCATTTATAATAAAGGGGGTTTTTTTTTTTGAAATTTCTCTTTACAAAATCCGTCAATTTGTATTTTTATATTTTAATATATTTTTTTACCTTCTTTTTCTTGTATTTTATACTTTATACTACTGATAGTATCGCAGTTCTGCAATTCTAAATCAGTAGTCTTTCCAGTGATGTGCTTGACGTAGATAAGCATTTTCGTTGGGTAAAGATTTTAATAAAAAAAAGTTTGCGATAGAGTTGAGTGGGGGGAATACTTTCTCTTTTATAAAGATAAAAACTGAATAAAAAATTTTGAATTTGTAGAGTTGAGTGAGAAATACTTTCTTTTTTTTATAAGGATAAAAACTCAATTCCGGAGGATATATTATTTGATTATTTTTGGAAATATTTCTGGACAACATACTGCTTTTGTTTAAACTAAAATAGTTTAATGAAATTCTTCAATGAATGTATTTTTTATGAATGCGGAGATTTAAATAATATTCTCCTCCGGAATCTATCTATTAACTAATTTAATAAATTAGTGAAACTTTTTAAAATCCGAAATCCGATATGCAAACGTAAATTTTTAATGTATACATTTTAGAAAAAAAGAACCAATAAAATTCATGATAACAACACGAAAATTATTTAAAATTTTCTATAAAATTTAAATTTTGACGACGAAACCACCTGTAAGGCGAAGCATCAGATATAGAGTCAATTCATGTGTAATGTTATATTCTGATAACATTTTTCCATCTTCAAGTTGTTTCTCTCTAAAGGTTAACCTTTGATCTTCTGGTTTAATACCTAATATAACGTATATAACGTATATAACAATATAATATTTAAAATAAAAAATGAAATTAAAGATATCTTTACCAGTATTTACAAATCATGTGCGGAATACAGAATTTTGTGCATAATTTGTGCGGATGTTTTTTTATGTAGTTTTCAAACTTTATGTAAGCACACTCTGCGCGTTTACAAAGTTAAATCAGTTTTATATATGTATACCTTACCTTCTTTTTCTTGTATTTTAAGCTTTACACTACCAACAGTTTCGCAACTTTCTACTTCAATTGTAATAGTCTTTCCATTCAATTGCCTGACAAAGATCTGCATTCTGTTTATTATTTATATCTGATTTATATTTTATTTTTAGTGAATCGAGTGATTGAATGAATTGAGCGTATCAGTGAATTGAGTGGGTTTAGTGAATTGAGTGAATCAAAAAAGCTGGGAATAAGTTCTCTTTTTATAAAAAAGAAATCCCAAGCATTACATTTTCTTGGATTATTCTAAAATAGGCATCAATGAACGCTTTCTGGTAGCTCTTTTTTTTATAGTAAATTGGTGTAACTCGTATTGTTTTTTTAAAATCCAAAAATCAGATATAAAAGCAAAAGAAGAAACAATGGTTATAAATACGATACTATGAGTAATGTAAGTATGAGAGTACTGAATAATAAGTAGGAGTTAGTTGAGAGGATTTAAGGTATCTAAATGAATGTAAACGCAATTTTTTAAGTCCGAAAATTTCGTATATATCATATTTATTTAGTAAATTATTCGTGTTTTTAAAAATTCGAAATTCGAGAAATTTCAGATAACAAAAAAAAAAACTAATAAAATTCATGATAGCAACTAAAAATTTAAATTTTGACGACGAAACCACCCGTAAGGCGCCAAATATAGAGTCACTTCATATGTAATGTTATATTCTGATAACATTTTTTCAAAGTTGTTTATTACTAAAGACTAATCTTTGATCTTCTGGTTTAATATCTATATAATATAATATTTATTAAAAATGATCTCTTTAATCTGTATTTCTTATCTTCTTTTTCTTGTATTTTAAACTTTATACTACTAATAGTCTCGCAACTTTCAACTTCAAGTACAAGAACCTTTTCCACCACCTGGTGCCTGACAAAGATCTGCATTCTGTTATTTATATTTTATTTTGTGAATTGAGTGGTTGAATGAATTGCAAGCATCAGTGAATTGAGTGGGAATAGATTGAGTGAATCAAAGTTCTCTTAATAAGATCCCAAGCATTACATTTTCTTGGATTATTCTAAAATGGGCACCAATGTTATCTATAACTTTTTTAGTAAATTGGTGTAACATTTTATTGTTTTAAATCAAGTACGGTAATAATGACGAGTGGATTTAGTGGAATTAGTGAGTAAAAAGTGGGAATAAAGTTCTTTTTCTTTGCAAAGAAAGAAATTCTTTTTGGAGTAAGATAACAAGATGAATATAAACACAGTTTTTTAAGGCCGAATATTTCGTATTATAATATTTATCCATAACTATTTAGTAAATTAGTGAAACTCGTGTTTTTAAATCAAAATCTGATCAGATATAAACGTAAATAATTAGAGCTTCCATTTTTATTATTAATAACAAATATACAAAATTCACAACAACAAGAAAGTGAATTTAATTTTAATTGGAACCACCCCGAAGACGGACCACCAAATGAAGAGTATCTCCGTTTTTAATGTTATATTCTGATAACATCTTTTTATCATCAAGTGGTTTATCTTTAAAGATTAACCTTTGATTTTCTGGTTCAATACCTATACAATATATACCAATATAATATTTATCAAAATGTCAGTTAATTATTTCTTTTTTTTTTATAAAAATATTTTTACCTTCTTTATCTTGAAATTTACGCTTTACACTACTAATATTCTCGCAACTTTCTACTTCAAGTTCAGTGGCCTTTCCAGTGATTTGCTTAATATAAATTTGCATTCTTTTATTTGGTTATTTTATTTTATGGTTTATTTTTTAATATCATAAAAAATTTTTATGAATATTGAGTGGGTGAACGTGTTGATAAAAGAGTTCACCACGAATTATATAACTTGTATATAGATAAAAGTTATAGAGTGGGAATTGGGTAAAAATAAGTTTCTATATAAAAAAGATTCACAAGCATGATTTGATTTTTTTTTTCTAAAATAGGTTAATAAAATTTTCAAATTTTACCCTTTGGCGTATCTTAAGGGTAGAGTTTACCTCACCTCTATAGTAATTCCGGGGCTAATATTTATTGTGTAACAATTATAAATTCAGCTGATAATTAATGTAACAGAGCCGAAATTATGAAAATCGTTTTTAATACTGTTCTTCGTTAATATAACGAAAATACATTTTATTGAGAGCATATTACATATAAAGTATAAAAAATACCCATCCAATATATTTTACTTTTAATATAAAATAACACATATTAACATATTATATATATGCTTTTTATAAACTCTTGTACAGTTTTGATTAGTATCATTTAGTCCATGCGAAAAGTGTCGGGATAGTTTTTTAAAGGTTTAATGGAAAAAATACTACTAAAGCTGGCTTTTTTTACTAATATTAGAAACTAAAGGTTCGGGGTATAATAGGGTGGGGTGTCCGAGTTGTTGGGCGAATTTTTTTAGTCGATCATTACTAATAAATTATCACGTGATTACATTCTCCTTAATAATTATATAAATTACCTTTGAGGAAAGGTGAAGAAAAAATAATATAATAAGTAAAATAAATAAATAAAAAAAAAAAAAGAGAGAGAATCGAGAGAGAGACGAGAAACCAGAGAAAACGACTTATAAAAATTAAATATTAATTAAACGTATACGCCTAATTTTTATGATCTGATAAAGGAAGATGACAGAAGAATGTCCTCATCTACCTTGGCAATATTACATAAATAGAATACATTCTTTAATATTATTTTTTTTATTGATTATTTTTATTTATTATTCCGTTATTATTAAATTATCAATTATTCCAATTATTCCAATTATTCGTAATAATGAACAATAATAGTAAGTGACAATCAATAATGTAATAATAAGAAAATTCGCCACAAATTTTTTATATTGTTATTAGTGTCATTAAAATATTTACTAAGCCATTTTTAAGAAGAAAGTTAAAGCCATTACTTTCACTTTCTCATTCTATTCTCTCTCATTCGGTGGCGATTACATTAAATAAAATTAAATAAGCCTCCCCAATTATTTCTAATAATAATATTATAATTGATTTTCCATTTCAGCGAAGTCACGTTGAAATCACGAATTGGGCTATTCCCATTTTTATTAGTCAGAGCCATGGTAAAAAAAATAAATTCAGATTACTGGGATCAAGATCCTAGAACTTGGTGGAAGCCAAACAATTGGGACTGCTCGCTAATCAAATAAACAAATACACACAATAAATGAAGGAAAGTATAATTACTGCAGTTAGTGCCAATGTACTCTAGAATATCCGCTGGGTAGCACCACGTGTGCGTGGTCATGGAAACATTGGGCTGGTCAGATAAGGAATGCTCTCTTGAACTAAACCTGAGGTCTGGCTTCTTGTGAACTTTCTTCACTCGAAACATATTGTTATAATTTTACTTTTTTTAAGTAATGTTCTAATGACGAGGAAAACATCAAAATTTGGGAAAGAAGGGTAGAATCTGACCTTGTTGACTTGGAGATAGAAGTTGAAAAGGAAAGTGCTCATTGCCTCATAACAGCTTTTTATTCGTCTCTTGTTGAACTTTGTTATTGCAGAAGAAAAGAATTGCTTCAGATAGAGCGGAAGAGAATAAGGGTAGATGAAGGTAACTCTGAAATATCATCTATAGAGACCAATTTGGTAGGTGAAGGGGAAGGAGGAAAATTATTTCGTACGTTGATTTCTATTGATAAAATATAAAAAAAATTTTTTCATTAGAAAAATTCTGACCAATCAGAGCATAAGAGTAATTGCGTCGTGCGTCACCAATTGCGCCATACGTCACTAATTGAGTCACGCGTCACCAATTACGTCTTGCGTCACATGAATTGCGTAACCATAAAAATTCCAAAAATTGAGTTGATGGATTTTAATTTTTACGACATGTATACTTTAGAGGAAGGAGAATTTGAATCAACACCAATAGATCTCGAGACTGATACAACGTGTATTTCTACCGAGGATGGATCTTCGGATATATTTTTCGATCCATTAACTTCAGCATCGTCGTCGTCATCACCAGGCACTTCTTCTAAAAAAGTACAGTCATGGTATCTGGACGTAGGAGAACCAACCGAAATGATTAATGTTAAAAAATTCTTGGATTCTTTCAGTACCGAACTTAGACTTCACGAAGAAAACATTCAAAAAGATCTTAAATATTCTGATAAACTTAATAAAAAACAAAGTAAAGATATCAGAGATAAATGCAGGTCAGACTTTAATTCTAATTAAATATTATTATTTTTTTTTTTTGATTTATTTCGGTACTTATTTTTTTATTTTATTTTTCTTTATTTTTTTCATTTATTTATCTGTTATATAGTGTAAAGGAATATTTAAAACTTTCCAGCCAATTTTTTGCAGATCCAACAATTTTCTGTCTCCTTCGTCAGTATCATAGTGGATCAAAGAATAATCCAAGTTCACCATCTTCTTTATCCGTTCCACCCCCTTTACCTGTTCATCAATCTGTTTCATCATCATCAACAACAACAAATGATAAAAAAAAATTTGCCAAAGGAAAAAATAAAGAGATTATTTCCTATCCACAAAATAATAATCATCAATCATCAACAATTTCACAAAAGAGAAAATTGGACGCGTCGTCGTCGGATAAAGTAATAACAAAAATTATATTTTGAATTCTATGCTGTTGCAAATTGATTTCGAAAATATATATATCAATATACAAAAAAAAAAAAAAATTTAAATTTAAAATAAATTTTTATACAGATAGAATCCAGATCATCCAAATCATCACGCGTATCTCGTTCGGATTCTGAAGATGGTTCTGAAATAAGACCTGAACCATCAGCTTTGGAGTTAAGATTTTGGGAAATGACAAAAGAATTGGATAATTCATCTCTGGCGAGTTTAAAGTACAATAACGTTCTTTACTTTACATATTTTTCTTCTTTAATTCTATTAATTTTATATGTACGGAATGATACTGATGGGTTTTCGTACTTGGATTTTTTTTTTTTTTAATATGGTTTAGGGAAGAAAATAGAACCAAAGTTAGTTCGAAGACCCGTAACGAAATGAATTATATGGCTAATAAAAATGTATGTCACAAATGTTTATATTAATTATATATATTAACTACATATATTAAATAAATGATATATATTAACTACATATATTAAATAATTGATATATATTAACTACATATATTAAATAAATGATATATATTAACTAATTAATATTTAAAAAATTTAATTATTTAGTACAAAGAACCACATACCGCACCTAAAGATATAGTGAATACACCAGAAGTTATTCTTTCGGTGGCATTTTATAATCAGAATAAGCCATCTACTCGTATGCAAGAATTTTTAGTCTTAGGAAATCAACCTTTAACTGCATTAAGAGATGCATTTTATTGTCTACGAGATTTTTATAAAGTTACTCCGTGGGAAAAACCGACACAGAATTCAATAGTAAATTCTACAGAAAAGAAAACTTCTTCAAGTTATTTTTTCATTGAAAAGGTATTTTATAATGATTTACGGGATCCTAGAGCTATTGATTATAGCAAGTAAGTTGTTGAATAAATTTATTATTCATGAGATTATGATATTTAATAATATTATAATCATTATTATTATGTTTACACAAATATTTTAATAACAATATTTTAACAATGTTTTACTAGGAATGTTATTGATTGGGTCAAAGAAAATGATAGATATAAACAACGTGGACTTGGTCTTTATACCTGCAAGAAAATGGAGAACGTGAAATTTAATGAATTATCAATAAGGTTAAATCATCCTTATTTATTTGTACATCAGGGAAATTGTCAACACGCAATTATATTTAGGGATTTACGGTAATATATATATCTCTCTATCTATCTCTATCTATATATGAAAGTTCTCCAAGAAATAACGCTAACTAATTTTTTATGAATATCTCAAAAAAATATTTTTATAGAATAATGCAATCGTACGATGATCCTGATGTATCAGCATATCCTAAAGCAATATTTAAGGGGAAAATTAATCGACATAAATGTCGAATGTGTATGCAACGACCGACTCTGTAAGTATCAATCTTTTAAAAAATGATTATTTATTTATTTATTATTATTTATTTTATTATTTATATATCATTATTATTTATTTATTTATTTATTTATTTTTAGACTTGTAACCATTAACGATTTTCTATCGGGAGAGTCACCAGCATATTTTTGCGATCGTTGTTATTATCAATTTCATTATAACTCTAAAAATGAATTACTTTACGATAATTTTCAGGTATTTAATATTTAATATATATTTATTTTTATGTTTATTTTCATATTTTTTATATATTTATTTTCATATTTTTTTTATATTTATTTTTTATATTTATTCTTATATTTATTTTTATATATATATTTTATATATATTATTTATTTAATCATATATTTTTTTTTATATTTACAGGTATTCCATTACGCTCACAACTAAGCCAAATATCTTACATCATTCACACATTCATCTTCACATGAATATAGAATAAAATGTTAATTAATTGTAGGTATAAAAATGATTTATTTTTATGTTACTAGAATTCTTTATTTCCTATAGAAAAAAATTTTGATTGTTTTTATATTTATCTATATATATATATATTTTGGTTGTCAATTTTTTTTTTTTATGGAATTAATTGATAGACTGTTGGTAGATTGTTGATAGATTATTGATAGATATGGCTTCAATATATTTATATACTGTATATGTAAAATTCCGTCGTAATTTCAAATTATGGTGAGATTATATTATATTATATAATTTTTTTCAAAAGGAAGCATTATTGATAAATTTGCATATAGAGGATTTAGAAAAAAGATGAAGGCTCATGGAGCTCGTGGATGGTATGTTTTAATCTTTTTTCTCGTAATAAATTTCATACTGCGTGTTTTTTTTGTTTTAATGAAATGTCAAAAAAAAAAATGAAAACCGGTTTTTGCCACGCGCCATACATCACATCACATTTATATTTCTTTTTACATCACATTTATATTTCTTTTGCATTACCTTCAAAAAATTTCAATAATGTAAAATCAGTAAAATTAAAACTTTAATAAAGTTATTAAAAAATTATCTTATCACATTTAAAACTTGTTTGATTAATGTGTTTAACATCGTGAAGTTAATTTAATACAGTTAATTAAAATGACAAATTAGATGTTGATAGAGTGTGATTTCTCCCAAAATTACGTCACGCGCTCAGATCTTTAACTGATTTAATAAAAATTAACTGGATTTTCACATGCAACAATTAATTTAATAATCATTCCCGTCAACACTTGACAAGTGTCATATCATTCTTATATATATATACTTTAAATTTATATTTTTACTTTCTTATATAACTTCAAAAAACACATTATTATTCCGTCTTACACACAATCACAAGAATTAAAAAAATGTTTATCATTAACTGGTTTTATGATGTTTTAACATCTCTGGGTACAAAGATCTTTTTAATTTCTTTCTATAAAGTGATATTTGTTCATCCGAAAGTTTTTTTTTTTTTCTGATCTTGATATATATATGTATATATATAATAATATAGGTCTTCTTAATAAAAATGCAAAGATTTTATTCTTGGGTTTAGATAAT